GGAAGAGCAACTTTTCTGTGCTCTGCTTTGCATAAATTACAAATTTCACATTTATTAATAATGTTTTGAGCGTTTGAGCGTTTTTGTGCGTCTGGAAAGTAGTATTTCTTTTTAAAAGTCTCATAAGTCTTTTAATACCTTGGTGTATTGTTTTCTCATGTATTTCTAATATTTTTTCATGAAAGTCTGCATATGTGGGTAATTTGGGAAGTACTACTGAAGTTTTCATTAATTTCGTACCAGTATTTGGTTTAATTAATTTCATATAAGCTCGTTGAAAAATTGCAAAGTCTTCGTCATTATTAATGTACATAACAAAATTGTGTCACATATAAATTTTATAATTATGTCTTTCGCCAAAGTTTCAGTCATGTCACTGCAAATAATTTTATTAATAGTTTTTTAATGTAGTGAGTAAGTTCGTTAGTATCTTGATTTCCCTTTTCAAATATAAGTTGGTGATTAAAAACGTTAACTGGTCGTTTGGTAATTTGTATGCAATCACCATTATCTTCTTGTGCACTATGCACTGTTGCTGGAGTGGTATCTACTTCAAAAAATCGTAAGAATGAACGCGGATATCTCGGAAACTATCAAGGATAGAGAATTCGGATCTTAGATTTAGATTCCGTAGCCTTGTACGCAGCGCAAGTTTGTTACGCGAATGTGCTACGCCCACTCTAACCATAGATTGAGATCACGAGTAGGTGGTGCATTTCAATCTCGCATGGCTGCTTGCATATCTCCATTTCCCTTTGGTCCCTTTATCTGAGTAACGGGTATCTGATAGTCGAGGTACTCGACTATAGCGTTCTTCCTTGTATTTTTTTTTAATTTAATGAATATGGATTCATATAGCCTTCTGTAGCCTTGTACGCAGCGCAAGTTTGTTACGCGAATGTGCCACGCCCACTCTAACGCCCACAAACCGACCAAACCTGTGGCACCAACAAATTTCCAGGCTAGATAAAAAATGTTAACTGAAATGTATTGGTCTCGTCAATACCTATCGATTCATCTAAAAAAAAGTTTGCCACACCCACACTAACGCCCATAACGCTTAAGTCTGTCTACCGCCCACATAACCATAGATTGAGACCACGAGTAGGTGGTGCATTTCAATCTCGCATGGCTACTTGCATATCTCCATTTCCCTTTGGTCCCTTTATCTGAGTAACGAGTATCTGATGGTCGAGGTACTCGACTATAGCGTTCTTCTTTGTATTTTTTTTAATTTAATGAATATTGATTCATATAAAATTCTTTAAAATAAATATATTGATATAATTTTAATGAATAAAATCAAATTTATTTAAAAAGAGGTATAGTCCATTTTTATACCCGTAACTTGTAAAGCAATAGGGTATACTAGATTCGTCGGAAAATATGTAACAGGCAGAAGGAAGCGTTTCCGACCCCATAAAGTATATATATTCTTAATCAGGATCACTAGCCGAGTCGATCTAGCCATGTCCGTCTGTCCGTCTGTCTGTTCGTCCGGATGAACGCTGAGATCTCGGAAACTATAAGAGCTAGGCTATTGAGATTCGGCGTGCAGATTCCTGAGCTTCTTACGCAGCGCAAGTTTGTTTCAGCAGAGTGCCACACCCACTCTAACGCCCACAAACCGCCTAAGCTTGTGGCGCCCACAATTTTCATGCTAGAAAAAAAGGTTAATCGAAATGTATTAGTCTGGTCAATACCTATCGATTGACCCCAAAAAAACGCCTAAATCTGTATACCGCCCTCATAACCATATATTGAAATCGCGGGTGGGTGTCGCATTACAGTCTCGCTTTGCTGCTTGCATATCTCCTTTTCCCTTTGGTCCCTTTAGTTGAGTAATGGGTATCTGATATTCGAGGTACTCGACTATAGCGTTCTTCCTTGTTTATAGTGGGACGGATTAACCCAAGTGAGTCGTAGCACCTTGCTATCGTTGACAAATCTGAGTGTTTTGTCTGGCTTCTAGACCCAATAGTACGGGCAAACGTGAACAAAAACCTATCTCGATGTGGCTCCCAAACTAGTCCAAGAGTTCATATCATCTACTTAAAAATATCGTAGAACCACGGCGGAACCTAAAGGGTAGGAATTAGCTTCGACAACTGCTTAAATGTCTGAATATTCAGGGTCGGATAATCCTACCAAAGGATACACTGAAGCATAGCATCAGGAGGTGCAACGCGTACTCGAAGAGTCCACTCGCTCGAACACAAATATCTGTCTTATATGACCTTGTATAATAAGACGTTTATTGTCAAATCGTTTCTTTAGAACATCCAATGCAACTTGGTAGTTAGCATCCTCAATTTCCAACGTAGTTACGGTCTCCAATGCTATACCAGATAAACAGGAGACCAAATGCTGAAATTTTTCGATTGAAGTCAGTTGAATGACTGCTACAAACATAAAGTAGAAACTGGCCCAATCAGCGCAAGCCCCGGTGAATTTAAGAAATTTCAATTGAGGCAAGCGGGATCTATTGGACAACACCATGATTGACAGCGCGTCATCAGTGTTCGAGATCATCGTACCGAGCTCCCTCTGCCAAGTAGAGTTATTAAATTGGTTTCAAACTTGATTGACATTTCGGAGCCTATGGAATTAAAATCCTGTTCCTGCCGTGGACGTTGGACCAGGAGAAGAAGTGCCACGTCTCAGCATAATCCGTGGACTTTGGACCTGGAGTGAAGAGTACCAGCGGGCCGTACGCAAAAAGGAGAATAACGGTTCCCGGTGGTAGATGTGGGTCTAAGACAAACAGGATCCGTGACCTTTGGACCTGGAGTGGAGAGTACCAGCGGATACCGGATGCTCTGTATAAGGCCGCAGAGCTCTGGAAGCTGGATCAGTCGATCACGAGGAGTCAAACCATCAAGATCAGTCATCTATCAAAATCAAAGAACCAAGTCAACCAGCAGCAGGTAAACAACAGGTCAAGTCATTGAAGGAGGGCCGTGAGAAGCCTTCAAAGAGCAAGATCGCTACGTCGAGACGTTCGGGATTGGGACATCAGGAATCTCCGAATTGAGACACAGGTAGCTGAGGTCCAGGGGGCATCACACGGCCAAGTCAAGGCGGCTTGTCTCATACTTTGTCACGACCACACCCTGGCACATCGCCCGGCGGATCCGTCAGAGTCGAGCAATAGAGTCCTGCGACGAGGAACCGTGAACTCGAAGGGAAAGTTGTCTAAACACAGTGTGCCTTGCAGGACCTAGCGCGAAGGACGAGCGGGCGATTTATGGTTTTAAGAAGCGTTGTCCTGAAGAGCCCAGCGATTACTGGCGATGTCCCGCAACAGCAAACGTCCCGCAACAGCAAATGTCCCGCAACAGCAAACGACTGAAACCCCGAGGTCAGAGAACCACACTACCAGCCAGAAAGGGCGAGCAGTCGACTGGTTGAGGCATTCAAAAGCCGTTGTCCTAGAGAGGCACAACGGTTCAGAAACGTCAGAACGTCACGGATGACAAGCAATATGATGAGGCTGGGGTGAAACGTCTACTGAGCTACGAATCTCGTAGCGAGCAGACCAAACAAAATCAGTTCGTTACTAGTTACCCATCGACCGCAACTGCCTCCTGCTGTGTCTAAGGGACTCAAGTCTATTGAAGATGGCTCTGTAGATGGTGGCCGAGAATTGTTAAGAACTTCTCCCGAAGCTTCTCCTTGCGTTGCTGGTGCTGCTGGGCGGATACCAGATCCGCCACCCTGAGTTGGACTATGCCCCTCTGCCATTTATTTTGAAATTTATTAACTTAAAGTTAGATTCTGAAACAATGAAATCGGGAGCAGTTTTTAAATGCCGTTAGCACACAAGTTATTGTTCAATTTGTACGCCTAATAACTTTTCAAATAGCTGCAAAGTTCTACGTTTTAAGCAACAACAATTAATTAATAAACTAACACATGCTAGATAGCAATTTAAGTTTATTCTTTATTTTAGTTAGTTTTAACAATGTTTTTGTAATGAGCCGCAGAATTTCTTTTATCACGCCTTAGCAGCCTTTCGACAGACAGAAGAACAGAGAGATTTAACAGAAGCTTTCGAATGAGTGGTAATATTAAGAGCGAGTTGATGCTCTATTTACAGGGAGTTTTATCAGCTGCAGCTCCGAACAGTATTGCTACAAGTAAGGCAAACCGATACTGCTTGTAGAAGATGGAAAAGTTACAAAATTATCAAGAATTTAAGTCCTTAAGAGCTACTGTAACATCCTTATTCGTTAATGCAGAGAGCTAGTCATAAGCAAAAGTATCACCATCCCTCTCTCACTCTCTTTATCTGATAGTCGAGGCCATTGGCTGGATTTTAATGGTTCCTTTTTGCTACAAATCTTATTTAATTAGTCCAATAGAAAGATACAAATAAAGAACGGTAAAGTGGTAGGTATTTTAAGCATGTAAAAACGTATACAATATGAAAAGATTGACGGCAGCTTCTTAGCAATATTTTTATCGAGGGAAAACATCCATTGCATTTGATTTGTCATCGATTTTTGCAAAGTAACACTTTACATTTGCAATACACACTTATTGAATCACTTGTTCAAAAATGTATGCAATTTTTCGTATGGTAATTAAACTTAAATTTGGGTAACTTTAATAACAAATAATAAATTAAATAATTTACGGATAGTTATCGGCAAAAAATCAGATAACAAATTTTTGGAAAAATTCAAGTTTAATAAGTACGGCTATGAAAACGAAAATTTTTTTTTCTGAAAAATAAATGTTAGAAATGGAGCGGTAACATTTATTCCTTCAAGAACAATTTACGGATAAATAACGACAAATTGTCAATAAGAAAAAAAAGTTTCGATATCAAAAGTTAATCTGCTAATTGATGCACATAGAGAAAACATATTTTCAGCAAATAAATCATCATTTTAGTGGAAAAATTTAATGCTCTTTAAAATCGGACGAAAAAAATTAAATTATATTAATATATTAATGTATATATTATAATGAAGTAATTTTTTTTTTTATTTTAGAATATGGATACCATTGCTTCAAGTTGTGGAAGAGCTAGTCACGGAAATATTCCTTCAATTAATCCAATTAAAGCAACGCCACCCATGTGGCGCTGCTCTAAGGTTATGCAATTGCAAAGAGAAGTACATCCCACAATATTGAGTTCCTTGGAAGGAATTGTTGACCAAATGGTGTGGTTTAGAGAAAGTTGGACAGAGGAAGTGCTTCGACAACTACGGCAAGGCCTAATAAAATGCTATGCCATCGCATTTGAAAATAGAAATAGTGTTGTCCTTTCTACTATAACTCCCCATACGTTGCACTTTGTAAAAAAGCTTGGTTCTACATTTGGCATTGGAATAGAAAACGTTCCAGGATCCGTAACATCTTCAATTTCAAATTCAGCAGCTTCAGAATCTCTTGCACGACGTGCCCAAGTCACTTTTCAGGACCCAGTATTTCAAAAAATGAAAGAACAATTTACAAATGACTTTGATTTTTCAAAGCCAGGTGCTATGAAATTACACAACTTGATATCAAAATTAAAAACATGGATAAAAGTCCTTGAAACAAAAGTTAAAAAACTACCTACATCATTTTTAATAGAAGATAAGTGTAGATTCTTATCAAACTTTAGTCAAAAAACGGCAGAGGTTGAACTTCCTGGAGAACTATTACTACCGGTATCATCACATTATTACGTTAGAATTGCCAGATTTATGCCTCGTGTGGAAATTGTACAAAAAAATAATACTGCTGCACGAAGATTATATATAAGAGGTACGAATGGAAAAATATATCCGTATCTTGTAGTCCTTGATTCCGGACTGGGAGATGCTCGCCGAGAAGAAAGAGTTTTGCAATTAAAACGTTTGTTAAACTATTACCTTGAAAAGCAAAAAGAAACTAGTCGACGGTTTCTGAACATAACGGTACCAAGGGTTGTCCCAATATCGCCACAAATGCGATTAGCGGAAGATAATCCAAACAGCATTTCTTTGTTAAAAATATTTAAAAAGTGTTGTCACAACATGCAGGTTGACTATGATATGCCAATAGTTAAATATTATGACCGACTTTCTGAAGTTCAGGCAAGAGGAACTCAAGCCACACACACAATTTTGAGAGAAATATTTTCAGAAATACAATTGACTATGATCCCAAAGATCTTACTAAAACATTGGGCTTTGAAAACATTCACGGCAGCTACAGACTTTTGGCATTTCAGAAAAATGGTAAGCATTAAATTTAATTAATTTCGCATAATCACATCTGTTCTTCTGTATTTTTTTTTAACTTGTGTTTTAAACACTTCGAAGAAGACTTCCGACCTAATCAACAAAATATTTTAATAGCTTTCGACTTTATACTTTACCAGTCGTCATCAAGTATGTGCAAGCAGAGCAAGCTACGATGTATTTGAAGAAATTGATCGCAGAAATGTGTAGCTTATAAAAAGCTACTTTGCTATCTATTGTTTTATGTAAACGTTGAACGGGGTAAATATGACCTACAACTTCCGAATTGTAAGATATTTATAGTATTTAATACTATACCAAGCGCGACTTGGTTGGCGCTTCAAAAAATGTTCAACAGTCAATCATAATAAAAATTCGGAATATGAAAAAACATACAGGTACGGCAAGCTAAAGTTGAAATAGCCCCAACGCTAAAACCGTATTAAGAACCTATAATCAAGAGTAGAACAATATTATGGGCAAAACAATAAGTAATATTTTGTACCCTAACACTACCCATTACTTTATTTAATAGGGTTTTTGATTTATTTATACAATTTTTGTTAAATTTAATTTATAATTATCTTATCTTACATAATATATAAGAAGGGCCTAAAACGGGGAAGTAGCTTCTGATACAATTTTATAAAAAGGATGTTCTGAAATAATTTGTACACGCCGTGCTATCTATAAATTGGTTTACAAGGTTACCCCAAAGTGTTCCAAAATTCGAGTAGTTTTTTCCATTTTTTCTTCGGTTATTGCTCTTATAAATCTTCTCAAAGTTGTTTCAAATTTTAATATTTATAATCTTTTGACATACCCGACCATAACCGCATTAACATTACAAAATATTATGTACACCATTAATCAGAAAAAACACTAAATCAGTGTCGGGAACTTTAAAAAACTCGACGATGGAAAAACGGTAATGCTGAATACTGGTTCCAAAGGTAGCACCAGCACGGGGGTCCATATAGGGCCCCATCTTAAATTAGGGGTGTCTGGAGGCAGAACTTCGGCAGCGGCAGACGTAACCAAGGCGACCGAACCTTCCATCGGCGCAAATAAAGTCACTTACATGGAATGACGGACTGCCGCACATTTGGCGAAGAGATCTTAAGTCCAGCCATCGGTTTCCTTCGCTGAAATCAGCCAAGACGGAGTCATGATTGGGCTTATCGACACGGTAAACTGGGAGGGCAGGACTCTTAGAAACAAGTGGAAGGTAGTGGAGACCATACTGACCTAGAAGTGCCTTTTTATAGACGGGTTCATTACCTTGATGCAGAGACGCTGGATGGTACCAGGGCAGCGTAAAAAGTGGTGGCCTGCGACAGCCAAAGATCGTCTGACTTGTATTAATAGCCAGCAGACCTGCTTGGAGATGTCTCCGAAGGGGAAAAAATCGTTCCAGTAAACTGGTGCGACATCCCCAGCAGACAGCTTAAAGAAACTGGGTTCGGTAATATGAAATTTTTGATGTTTGAAAACGGGAATTTTTTTTTCACGTCCAGTTCTAACATTATACAATACTTAAATCAGAATACGATTGTTTAAAATTTTTTTTGGGGAATCATTTGTCTACTGTAAGTACACCTTTATAATTTTGAAAAACTGAAAGCTTTAGAAAACATGCCATTTTTTGCTTTTAACCTAACTTAAAAAAATCAACAAGGAAGAACACTATAGTTGAGTACCTCGACTATTAGTTACCCGTTACTCAGCTCAAGGGAGCAAAGGGAAGTGGACATATACAAGCAGCAAAGCGGGACTGTAATGCGACACCAACCCGCGATCTCAATATATGGTTATGTGGGCGGCAGACAGATTTTAGCGCTATGGGCTTTAGAGTAGGCGTGGCAAACTTTTTTTGGGTCAATCGATAGGTATTGACGAGACTAATACATTTCAGTTAACATTTTTTATCTAGCATGAAAATTGTAGGCGCCACAGTTTTGGGCGAGATATCCGCGTTCATATTTACGATTTTTGAAAGTTTGTAAGCGGTTTGTGGGTGTTAAAGTGGGCGCAACACGCTGCTGAATCAAACTTGCGATGCTCAAGAAGCTCAAGAATATGCATGGCTAATCCCAGTATTGTAGCTTTTATAGTCGTCGCCGTGCAGATGTCCTCATTCCCACGTTGGTTGTCGGCAAACGAAACGCGGCGGCCATGGATGCATCGATGGAGCTTGTCGGGGTGCACGGGTCGATCAGTACGGCGGTGTCGAACGTCTCTTCCCCGCTCCCGACGATCAACAAAGAAGTCGCAAGGACGTTGACGCTACGACGTTGGAGAAATGCCGCGAGCGACGGAGCTGGTGTCGAGGATGCTGAGCGCGGTGGATAACGCAGACCTTGCAGGAGTTAACCACTGCCTTTACCAAGTTCTTTAAACATTTGTTCGGTAGGATTATAGGATGTCGTTCATCATACTGCAAACTATCGGAGGCCGTTACATGGCCGCATGCCCTGACTAGCCCTTTCTGGTCTAACTTGCCGCGGGCACAGGACACTTCTGACTCAAGCAGCGGTATTCTTCAGAAAAATACCTGCGCTGAGTACAAATTGTCACGAGCCGTTCCGCGGCGGCAACGTCCTGGGCCTCTAGACGGACCCCGAAAAGCGGTGATTGTTGGACATAAGCGAGGACCCGCAATGCTCTATCTAATTTGGAACAGCGATCCAGGAAATCCTCTGGCGTCACAGAATCCGTGATGCTCTACGCGGAACTCTGGACGGAAGGAAACCCATCTTGATACTCTGACCTGTTCTAGGACTGAATAGCTCTGGAGGAAGCTGTTCCACCTTTGGCACAGCTCAGTTGGAAGTTTTTCGTCCCAGCCTAGATCCTGAAGCCAAATCTCTTGCATAAAGAGGCACACACAACAAATGGAGCGAGCCAGCCTGCTGGATCAAACAGCTTGGCGATTAGGGAAAGGACTTGGCGTTTCGTGGGGGAGATTTCCGTTGCTAAATCTGGTGGGACGAAGAAGATCTCATCGGCCGTCTCCTTCCATCGTACACCGACAGTTTTGGCTGTGCCCTCAGTGTCGATCTCGAGGAAGTCTGTTGTCAGAAGGTATGAGCTAATATTTCTTTTGTTGTTGGAGGTCCATTTTTACAATGGAATTGTAAATAATCCAGAGCCCTTGAAGCTCGCGAACAATGAGCTTAGCGTCTTCGGCGGAGTCAGCTCCCGAAAGGACATCTTCTACATACATATGATTTCGAATGACGTTGCTCGCTCTTGGATGGCTGAGCTGCACGTAGGTTGCCAGCTGTTGCATGACTCGAGTCGCCAGGAATGGCGCGCAATTGACTCCAAAAGTTACCGTCTTTAATTCGAAATCTCGAATGTGCCCCTCGCTGTTGCGGAATAAGATGCGCTGGAACGGGGAATGCTTCGGATCTACCCATATCTGCCGATACATTTTCTCGATATCGGCACTGTAGACGTATCGGAAATCTGGATAGTTAGATCGGACTGTAAGACTGGGCCAGCATGAAGGATATCATTTAAACTGACCCATTCTCTGAAGGGCTGGAGGCATTGAAAACCACACGTAACTTGGTGGTTGTACTTTCCGGCTTGAGCACGGCATGTTGCGGAAGGTAATAACTGGCAGAATTATGGGTAGGACGGACTTCTTTCATGTGATGGAGGTCGAGATACTTTTGAATCACGGAGTCGTATTTGGCTTTCAGCTGACTGTCCCTCTTTAGGCGTTGCTTGGTTCTTAGGAACTGCGACAACGCGGAGGATCTGGAGTGACCGAGGGCGGATTTCACGTTTTCAGCATCCCGAAACGGAAGACTTATGACATACCTGCCATTATCGTCTCTCGGAGTTTTTTAGATTCAGCGGATACTGTCTGGTTGAAGCCTGATACTTAATTAATTTGAACAGCCGCTCAGAAATAAAGGTTGCCTCTGATCCTGAATCTATCAGGGCACCAGCTAGACGAATCAATACCCCGTCTCGAAGTAATTTTGGACTGTAGAGTCCGTGGAACCGGTAGCGGTGGCAACTGGTGTATGGTGTATTTGGTCTTGATCTGGGTCTCGGGGAAGGATTTGAAGGCGATGGGAAGGAGTTGCCTCTGTAAAGCAACTATGAGTGCTTTCACAGCTGCTTCCTCTTTGTATGTGCCGATCGCTCATCTGGAGTTTACCTTCTAATAAAGGTCACATCCTTTGGGCTTGGGTACTACCCTTGTCTCGTAAGAATTTATTCTTCGAGGCGGTGCACTGGGGGCCGATGTTTTTGGCAGAGATTAACTCAAACCTCACGGCCGTACTTCGTCTATGGCTTCTAAGGTCCGGTGACGCTCCGTAAGAAATGCGTTCAGCTCCTGCCACGTCGGAACCTCGGCTTTCTTGTGCAGGGACTGTTCCCACAAGGATAGCGTGAGCTTAGGAAGTTTGGAGGCGCATATGTACACTAAGAGGCAATCCCAATTTTCGGTTCGAGTTCCGGACATTTCTAAAGCCGTGAGGCAACCCTGGAGGGTTCGTTGAAGTTCACGGATAGCTGACCCAGATTCCTGATTAAAGGACTGCACATTGAAAAGTATTTTTAGTTGTCTATTTACTAACAACCGCTTGTTTTGGAAACGCTCAGTTAGGTTAGCCCAAGCTGAACAAAAGCCATCGAAAGCCAAGCTCGAAACTATAGTGTGTGCATCGCCACTTGTTTTTGCATTAAGGTGAAACAGTTATTCGACTGGCGACAGCCTTTGATTGTTTATATAAATGGCCGTAAACAGATCCCTAAAGGTCGGCCACCGCAGATAATCTCCGGTAAAAACCTCGGTATCGCACGGAGGCAGCCGACAGCCAGAGGAAATGTAGGTCTGGGAAGGAACAGCTTGAACTTGGGGAGCTTGGGCTTTCATATCCGCGATCTGAGCCCCACATCTCTCGTTATTCTTTTAATTTTATTTAATATTCCGAGGGAATAAAAAATACTAAAATATACCAAAAAAAATTGGT